CAGCGACCACCAACTGCAGACCCAATGAAGAAACTCAAAGCAGAACCGATGCACTGTGCGCCGCTCTAAAACAAACTCATCCAAAGCTTCTTTCTGCTGCAACGAGTCGCCTGCACGTATAAACACAGCACACACACATTACAGGTGCACAGAAACACCAACCAGCAGAAAAAAAAAACGCAGCTAGGTCGCCTCATCTGAACTCAAACTGTGTGATATACGACTCCCCAACACACACACACACAGTCCAGTATCCTTCTGGGCTGCATTAAAAGGGGAAATGTGGGCAGGTACAGGATCATTTCCCTCTGGCCCAAGGCTCGGACAGCCCAGTAATAAAATACACATCAACACACACACACACACACACACACACACACACACAGCTACCTACAAGACACAAAGGCACACACACACACTCGCCAAGCTCGACACAGGGCTCATGAGAACCACGCTGACTGAGGGTCCAGCCCAGGTTAAGACGAGCTCCCTTCCTGCAGAGACTGTTCCTGCCTCCTCCTTTAGCTAGAGGGACAGTGGCGATGGCTCAACAACAACAACAACAACAACATGTGTTTTGTCTAGGCTATTTGTGACAATCATCTAGGATATTTAAGCACCCACCCATCCTCATGATTTCATCGATTAGCCTCCACAGTAACCACTCAGTGACCGTCTCCGACTGCTGTGCGTCACTGCTGCACAGAGCACGTGCAGCAGCACAGTCAGCCCTGTGCGTGTGTGTGTACCTTCAGTCTATCTGATCCAGGCAGGCGTGACTATTGTCATCACAGGTCAGACCTTTCCCATCCAAGGATGAAAACAACTTAACCTCCCCGTTAATTCCTGTAAAGGTGTGTGCATGCGGGCACACTCGCTGGTTGGATTGCTGTGAAAACAGAAGCAGAAACCAACAGATTTACATGGCACAGTAGTTCACAAACAAGCCCAGGTTCTGCCCCAGGGCATACTTGTGGCGATGATATCGAACCGTGCTTTTAACGGTCCACTCACTTCAGTTTAAGCTGCGTGGTTCTCCTGTTGACGCTCTCGTCTCCTCTACAGAGACCGTACCGTCACTAGCAAACACTGCTTGCACTACATTAGCGGGCCTTTCAGGTATCAGGGTACTGCTGGCTTTATATTCATCAGAAAGGACACAAACTCCTCATTCCTACAGTGTATGTGTGTGGCCACATGGCTACCGCTGCTCAGCTTTAATCATACAGTAGATCAACACTGCAGATACGGCCGACACAGGTGATACAAGTGTAGACGGGGTAATTAAAAGCCCCCGGCTGGTCTGCTCCTACAGGAGGGGGCTCAATCACTAGTTCCGGCTCGGGGCAGGATCCCTGCCTTTGTGAGACGACAATACAGCTGAAGACTACTGGTTCAGACCCAGGGCTGTAAAAATAGCCCCACTGGTTAGGGCAGGGCAGTAAAAGACAGGCTGGGGCTACCTGTGTCAACATAACACCAGGCCACAAAGACGGCAGCATACCTTCAGGGGAATATAGATTAGTAGCTAGGATGGGACCCCCACCACAATCAGAGGACAGAGACACACAGCAGGGCCAGCAATTAGGTCATTACTTTCAGCAGTGGGTGTAATTGTACCCGTTTTTTCAGGAACCACAAAGACATGGTAAAAAAAACAAAAAATGAAGATCATTTTGACAGATACTACGATTGTGATCAGCATTTTTGCACTTTTACTTCCACTGAAAACCAAAGTCATGATGATGTGACATTTGCTGGCTCGTCTGTACAAAACAAACATGTTTTCTCACATCTGGAGAACAACACAGACATGGTTCCCATTCTTTCACAAATCACTTTCCAGGACCTTTCCAGGAGTTTCCAGGACTTACAAACGACCACACAAGCTGCAGTTTCAGGCAAATGGACTACATTCATTGGGCCACAGCACACACAAACAAGTAGAATTCATTTCATTTGACAGGAAACTAATCTCCTAGAAGTTTTTGTTGCATGCACAATTAACCTCACCGTGCATGTATTTATCAACCACAGCAACAAGAAATGTGACCATTGTATGCATGGAGAAATGAGAACTTCACTAGACTCAATGGCAGACAGATGACTGCAGGTCAGTTCCACTGTGCATCTGATAAAGTGTCCCACAGTTTAACAGTCTCAAACAAACACACACTGGTTGACACAGGCTATCTGAGTGAGGGGCTACAATACAAACATGTCAAGGACTACATCGATTATTTATGAGATATTTGGTCTTTTTAATCAATTCCCACGTGTCTTCCCACTAGTCTCTAAATGTCCAGGTTTTCCAGGACACGTGGGACCTCTGCAGCATTACACTACTTTATTAAAATGAGGTTTTGACACACATTCTACCTTTATGGAAACATTGCAGCTTCTGTGATTTACATAACATGTTGTTGAATTGTGCAGCGCTAAGTAGAAAGACAGGACGGCCGCTGTTTGGTTGATGGAAACGCGATGAATCTGTCTCCAGTGTGTATCACACACACTGTAAACATCATTGACTCAATGTTTTCTTCAACGTGCCATAAAACACACTTGCTTTTGTCCTTTGTAGTGATCATGGTTCACTCCCTGAGCCAACCCAACACACTGCTAAATACACAGTTTACATTAGAGTGCATGAACGGTCTACTGTTACCAGGATTTAAATAACGTTACAGGCACAATTTCACCGTCGGAGGGGCCATGCGATTAAATAACAGTCCACTGCTTTCCAGCGCGACACAACCTTTGTTCAAAACACTGTCTCTCAGTCTCTCTACGTTAGCTGGTTGGCTAGTTAGTTAGCTAAGCCATAAACCGACCCACAGCTATGTAGCCCCGCAGCAGTGAGCTAACGCTGAGGACTTTATCAGCATAAACAAAGCCAGCATCAGCAGACACATGCTGCAGGCTGAGACTGTGTGAGGGCACCGACAGTGAACAACGTTACTGGAAACCCGTTAAAGCCCGTGTTAAAGGCGAGAAAGCCCCACTCGAACACCTGAGAGTGGTGTTGTAAACAAGAGGACATAGGTTTCTTCGAGGCAGCAGTCTATCACATGTACAGCGGTAGCTAGTTAGCTTAGTAGTATTTCACAGTATGTGCTGGTGGTTTGTGTTCATTGTACTCACCGAGCAGGACAACGTCTCACCCCTCACGGTTATTTGTTCGTATCGCCCACTGTCCGGTTATTCGTGAGCTGATAACCGGTAGCTACTAGCTGCTTTACTGCCCACCGAACAAAAGCTAGCAGTAAACTCAGTAAACGCTACAGCCGCAGAGTGGACCACTGACGTCTGGTTAGGACGGGGTGCCAGGTTGGGTTTACTTATCCTCATCAACCGCCGAGCACAGTTCACTCCCTGGTGAATTTGAGATAACACACATCGTAAAGAGACCACTGTTTTAGCGTATTGTGTTCTTAGAAACATAAACTATAACTAATGTAACCAAATTGCTGTCATCATGACTTTGTTCTCGTACACCAAAGGCACCGTTGATAATGGTGTGTGGGACTTTGTATCAAACCTGGCAACCCACAGGGCCTGCATCCACCACTTTAGTCCAGCTTTACCGGTTACGCTGCGGTTGTGCCAGCAGTGGGCGCTGTTTACTGACAGGAAACAGGACTGTAAATAGGACGGACACAACTTTTGGGATTTAACATGCTTATTTCACTTATTGTAATATAAAATACAAACCCAAGTTTGTGTATTGTTGTTATTGTTAATTGCATTTTAATGTTATTTTGTCCTGTTTTTCATTTTCTCTTTTCCTTTATATGTTCGAATATAAATATAAACAAAAAAACAAATATTTGGTAAATTTAAACAAACACAAGCAAAGCCATATGCTGTTAAGGTTTTTTTTAATTTTAATATAGCTGAAAAATGGTCACAAAGAGGATCTGAAGGTCTTTGTCCATATGCTAACACCGGTCCAGGCAGACGATCATTATCATTTATTTTGAGCCATGTTTCTGCCAACACGACATACATATATCAAATATTCACAGTCCCTTTAGCTCTGTTTTTGTCTCCATCAATTCTTTCATGCAGTCTTTGGCTGTCGGATGTTTTTCTCCACCAGCTAGCTGCTAACTCTCTGTTAGCCCTTTCGTACTGGGCGGGAAACACAGCAGGTTTATCTGAGCTTTTTTTACAGGGTTGATGAGAGCAGTGAGACTATATAGCAGATGTTCTGTACAAATGTGTTCTTTAATTTTTAGTTTAAGACCAGAAAAAAAATTTATACAAAAAGACAATTTATTCTTCCAAAGTCCCGCCTCTTTTGGTTCTGTGCTCCAATAACAATTGAGCCAACTTTAGTCCGAAACTTGTGCTAAGCTAATCTATGATGAAAACACAGCCACATTTTGAATTTAGTTAAAAGTCTTCAAAAGTTGGCCACGGTTACAAAGGTGCGGGACTTAACACGGGTAATTTTATGTACAAAGTTGTGGTTCAGTCGGGCCTAATGTTGTCAATAGACATTTTTATCTTAAATTAAAGCACCCCCTTTAGGGTAGCGTGGTCATTTTTGTGCTGACCATTTCCAGTTATAATGCTAAATTTGAACTCCAGCTTTCTACCATCCCATAGTAAATTTTCACTGAGAGAGAGGAATTAAAGGGGAACTTGGCAA